ATTCGTGATACCCATAACAAACTGATGCACTTAGGGGAGAAAAAGACCGCGCTGACCTTGGGGAAAGAGTTTTACTGGCCGGGAATGCATAACGATGTACAACGAGATGTTAAGGCATGCCACGAATGCGCACGGTAAAAGGCGCCGGCGCAACCGCTGCAATCGATACGGGTTTCACGCGTCAACGAAATTGTCGCCTTGAATATATTGGGTCCGTTTCCCGTCACCCCCCTGAGGGCACAAGTATTTACTCGTGGGTGTAGAATACTTTACTCGCTGGCCTATGGCATGGCCGCTAGTGGACCAATCTGCGGGGTCAATCGCAGAAGCTTTCCTACAAGGATACGTTCTCGATAAGGTCACCCCAGTGCACTTGCTCACCGATCAAGGCAGAAATTTATCGTCCCGATTACTTAAGGAAGTGTGTGATTCGTTGGGGACTAAAAAGATTTGAACGTCCCCGTACCACCTGCAAACCGACGGGATGGTCGAACGCCTGCATAGGACGCTAACGTCTATGCTATGCCACCAGGTCAACTCCTCGCAGGATGATTGGGACCTACACATTCCGGCGACCCTGGCCGCTTATAGACTGGCCCCACATGCCTCGACGGGGTACTCGCCTTTCTATTTGATGTATGGTCGCGAACCAGAGGCGCCGGCCTTGGTCAAATTGGGTGTGCGAACACAAGGGAAGTCGTCGACGGTACCTGCTCCCATGCAGGTGGCATTGGACCATCTGAAGGAGGCTCGGGAGGCCTCGTTGGGTAACACAGCACAGCGGCAAGCCGCCAACGAATGATTGCATGGTACGCAGCCTCTTCGAGAGCCATGGTGTGTGGGGGATGGCTTGGTTGCACTGCCCCATGGTACCGGTGGGAACGTCTCCGAAGTTCTATTGGCCCTGGCAGGGTCCCGTCGAGATTGTAGAGGCTCTCCGGGACCAGAGTGTACGGATTCGGTTTGGTCGTCGCACATGGTATGTTCATCCGTCGCGCCTTAAGAAATTTATAGCACCCTACGACGTGTCATCTCCCATCCCAGAGTGGCCTGTATTGGATGTATCCGACGAACCCGTGGTACGGTCGCATGTGAACGCGCCTCAGAAGTCTGCCTCCCGTGTGCCTGCAGGACCCTCCCTATTGACTCGGAGAGAGGGTTCTGGCAGATTTACTGGCCGGAAGCCGGCTGACCGGCCGCAACCTCGGGATAAGGGCGGGGGGTGGTCCCGCCGGCAGATGGTCGTGGTGACAGGGACGGGCATGCGTCAAGGACCGGATGCAGCCCTGAATTAACATGGAAGCATTCCCCGTCCTTGCCCCACAGTGTCCCGTTCAGGGGAAATGGGCCGGCAGCTGGAACTCGCTCCCAAGGAAGAACCTTCCATCAACTCTACGTCTCGTACGGCTGTTGTACAAAGTTTTTCTGTGATGCATTGTTGTTGTTATGTCATTGTTGTACTCCACTACCCGGAAGTCGAATTATGGTCGTAGCCGGGACGGCTAGATTTTTTCATCAAGTGGGGGGTGGGGGGGTGATGTAGTGGAATAAATATGCGCATGGGGGTAAATGGTGAGATCGCGAGTGGGCAGGACAGTATGGGTCAAATTGGGACAGCCAGGTGCGATGGTTAAGACGATGAGGTAATGATTAGGCCAATTAAGCTAGGGAGCCAGAGACGGCTGTGATTGGCTGGTGTTGTTGTCAGGGCTAAAGTGGCGTCTTAAAGTCTGGACAAGGAACGGGTGCACGGGCACGCGAAGCATCGGTGGGACGCGGGTTAATTAATTGGGGAATAATGAGAGCGGGGATAAATTGGGGAGACGCGAGGAGAGAGGGGAGTTGGATTCGGGGGCTGGACGAAGCAAGACGTGGAGCGGAGCTGAAGTGGAAGCAGCCAGCAGTGGAGAGAGCACAGTGATAGTGGAGAGCGGAGAGCAGAGACGAAGCAGCCAGGAGTGCAGAGAGCACAGTGATAGCGGAGAGCAGAGACGAAGCAGCCAGCAGTGGAGAGAGCACAGTCACAGCGGAGCTGACGGAGAAGCAGAGATTGGAGAGGCAAAGGCGGCGAGTGAGTCGAGCGAGCTATGGCAACAAGGGAACTGTGAAGCATTGAGGACATGTGGAGAACTGTAAATAAAGTGGTGTTGGAAGAAAGACAAAAGTTGTCAGAGTGAAATCAACCACTACACAGGTAACGAGCTGAGATTACGAGCACACTCTTAAAGGGAGTGCTCCTAATCTCAGCTTGTTACCTGTATAAAAGACACCTGTCCACAGAAGCAATCAATCAGATTCCAATCTCTCCACCATGGCCAAGACCAAAGAGCTCTCCAAGGATGACACAAGGCTGGAATGGGCTACAAGACCATTGCCAAGCAGCTTGGTGAGAAGGTGACAACAATTGGTGTGATTATTCGCAAATGGAAGAAACACAAAAGAACTGTCAATCTCCCTCGGCCTGGGGCTCCATGCAAGATCTCACCTCGTGGAGTTGCAATGATCATGAGAACGGTGAGGAATCAGCCCAGAACTACACGGAAGGATCTTATCAATGATCTCAAGGCAGCTGGGACCATAGTCACCAAGAAAACAATTGGTAACACACTACGCCGTGAAGGACTGAAATCCTGCAGCGCCCGCAAGGTCCCCCTGCTCAAGAAAGCACATATACATGCCCGTCTGAAGTTTTCCAATGAACATCTGAATAATTCAGAGGACAAGTGGGTGAAAGTGTTGTGGTCAGATGAGACCAAAATGGAGCTCTTTGGCATCAACTCAACTCGCCGTGTTTGGAGGAGGAGGAATGCTGCCTATGACCCCAAGAACACCATCCCCACCGTCAAACATGGAGGTGGAAACATGCTTTGGGTGTTTTTTTGCTAAGGGGACAGGACAACTTCACCGCATCAAAGGGACGATGGACAGGGCCATGTACCGTCAAATTTTGGGTGAGAACCTCCTTCCCTCAGCCAGGGCATTGAAAATGGGTTGTGGATGGATATTCCAGAATGACAATGACCCAAAACACACGGCCAAGGCAACAAAGGAGTGGCTCAAGAAGAAGCACATTAAGGTCCTGGTGTGGCCTAGCCAGTCTCCAGACCTTAATCCCATATAAAATCTGTGGAGGGAGCTGAAGGTTCGAGTTGCCAAACGTCAGTTTCGAAACCTTAATGACTTGGAGAAGATCTGCAAAGGGGAGTGGGACAAAATCCCTCCTGAGATGTGGGCAAACCTGGTGGCCAACTACAAGAAACGTCTGACCTCTGTGATTGCCAACAAGGGTTTTTCCACCAAGCACTAAGCCATGCTCTTTGGTTCTATTCGGTAAAGTCACGTAGGTAAAAAATAAAACAACAAAAATCACGACGTTTCGGCCACAACAGAAGCGGCCTTCATCAGGTGAAGGGATCAGGCTGTCTCGAGGACAGCGCTGGAGTGAAACACAGCCACGCTCAGACCGCGGACCTTCAAGCTGTGTGCGAGCAAACAAGGTGCCTTGACAAAGGAATTAGCATAAAAAATTGCATTTGATTGGCCGACTTTAGAAAAGAGGTGGTGTACGTGCCGGTGGACTTGCCGTTTGGCGCAGGGCACCTTGTTTGTTGTTTGCTCGCACACAGCTTAAAGGTCCGCGGTCTGAGCGTGGCTGTGTTTCACGCCAGCGCTGTCCTCGAGACAGCCTGGTCCCTTCACCTGATGAAGGCCGCTTGTGTTGTGGCCAAAACGTCGTGATTTTTGTTTTATTTTTTACCTACGTGACTTTACCGAATAGAACCAAAGAGTATGGATCCTTGCAGTCACGAAAACTTTAAATCTAGAATCACTAAGGCATGTTTTGCAGAGGGGTCAAATACTTATTTCCCTAATTAAAATGCAAATCAATTTATAACATTTTTGACATGCGTTTTTCTGGATTTTGTTGTTATTCTATCTCTCACTTCAAATAAACCTACCATTAAAATTATAGACTGATCATTTCTTTGTCAGTGGGCAAATGTACGAAATAAGCAGGGGATCAAATACTTTTTTCCCTCACTGTATATTGTAATGATCAGACCTCTATGGCAGGCTTATGTTAAGTAAATACAGACCTTGATAAAATAACGTTTTAGTAGTCATCTCAATTCGAAATTCGAAGAATAGCAAAGCACACAAAAACACAATGACAAGTGAAATACAATTACAAAGCTTATGGGAAATCGATATTGTGATAATGATGCCATTGTGAAATGTAATATTGTTTCGTGAAAAAATTATATTATAATTAAATTATATTGCACAGCGTTCGCTCCTCCCTCTTGTAGAGAGAGGACGACGACTCAGAGGAACGATGGACGAACGGGTAGGCAGCAGTCTCGAGATGAGCCGGTGCCAGCAATTGCCCAATCTCTGCGGTTCTCTACATATGAAGGTGTTATCAGCCAATTCATGAGTGTTTGCACGTGAGAGGAGACCGGAGCACCCGGAGAAAACCCACACGTGCGAGGGGGAAACGCTCTATCCCATGAAGACAGAATAAGGTGGGGTCCACATTTTTGGCTGGGAAGGGAGTTTTGCAACATTTGCCCGGTGATCCACCAATTCTCGCTGCTGCCTCCACTGTGCCGGAGTACTTTAAAAAGTATTTTTGTTTATTTCAGTTTACCAGTTAAGGCCCACGGAGCTATATAGCTATATTTCAGAAACGAACTGGCTCAACGAAGTGGCTGGTCACGTGGAGATTTCTAGCAGCAGCCAAACACTCTAAACGCGCGATGTTGATTCTAAATGTAGAGATACAAATCGGAGAAAAATCCACGTGACCACGGAGAAAAAGAGACACACGCAAACCCCAAATATACAGCTGGCATCAGGCTCGAACCCACGATCTCCTGCATACCAGGCGACGTAGTTAAAAGTTAGTTCAAGCGGCATAACGCCCCGAGCGGCACTGACGCTAGGTCCCAGTGGTGATGGGCGACGCTCGCGAGGAACGCCTCTCGCTCGACACTCACCCACGAGGATGGCGCTCCAGCTCACTCAGAACAGTGTTCTCGCAAAACTCAAACACCAGGTGGATCCGGCGCTTCCTCCTGAACACCTCCAGGAGGTTCACGAGGTTCGGATGCTTGAGGGTCTGCGAAATGAATAAATTAGCAATAGTAATGTATGCGGGTCTGTTTGACTTCTATCGCACCGTATGTACGTAGCCAACTGTGCTAATCGGAGGAGGGGTACACACAAAAAAGCAGTTCTAAAGCAATGAGTGTGTCAATCTAGATGATTTAGAAGCGCATAGCGCCGTAATGAGTGTGTAAATCTACATGATTTAGAAGTGCATAGTGTAGCAATGAGTGTCAATCTAGATGATTTAGAAGTGCATAGTGTAGCAATGAGTGTCAATCTAGATGATTTAGAAGTGCATAGCGCCGTAATGAGTGTCAATCTAGATGATTTAGAAGTGCATAGCGCCGTAATGAGTGTCAATCTAGATTATTTAGAAGTGCATAGTGTAGCAATGAGTGTGTCAATCTAGATGATTTAGAAGTGCATAGTGTAGCAATGAGTGTGTCAATCTAGATGATTTAGAAGTGCATAGCGCCGTAATGAGTGTCAATCTAGATGATTTAGAAGTGCATAGCGTGGTAATGAGTGTCAATCTATATGATTTAGAAGTGCATAGTGCTGTAATGAGTGTGTCAATCTATATGATTTAGAAGTGCATAGCGCCGTAATGAGTGTATCAATCTAGATGATTTAGAAGTGCATAGCGCCGTAATGAGTGTGTCTACATGATTTAGAAGTGCATAGTGTAGCAATGAGTGTGTCAATCTAGATGATTTAGAAGTGTATAGCCCTGTAATGAGTGTATCAATCTAGATGATTTAGAAGTGCATAGCCCCGTAATGAGTGTCAATCTAGATGATTTAGAAGTGCATAGTGTAGCAATGAGTGTGTCAATCTAGATGATTTAGAAGTGCATAGCCCTGTAATGCGTGTATCAATCTAGATGATTTAGAAGTGCATAGCCCCGTAATGAGTGTCAATCTAGATGATTTAGAAGTGCATAGTGTAGCAATGAGTGTGTCAATCTAGATGATTTAGAAGTGCATAGCCCCTTAATGAGTGTCAATCTAGATGATTTAGAAGTGCATAGCACCGTAATGAGTGTCAATCTAGATGATTTAGAAGTGCATAGTGCTGTAATGAGTGTATCAATCTAGATGATTTAGAAGTGCATAGCGCCGTAATGAGTGTGTCAATCTAGATGATTTAGAAGTGCATAGTGCTGTAATGAGTGTCAATCTAGATGATTTAGAAGTGCATAGTGCTGTAATGAGTGTCAATCTAGATGATTTAGAAGTGCATAGCCCCATAATGAGTGTCAATCTAGATGATTTAGAAGTGCATAGCGCTGTAATGGGTGTCAATCTAGATGATTTAGAAGTGCATAGTGCTGTAATGAGTGTCAATCTAGATGATTTAGAAGTGCAAAGCGCCGTAATGAGTGTCAATCTAGATGATTTAGAAGTGCATAGTGCTGTAATGAGTGTCAATCTAGATGATTTAGAAGTGCAAAGCGCCGTAATGAGTGTCAATCTAGATGATTTAGAAGTGCATAGCGCCGTAATGAGTGTGTCAATCTAGATGATTTAGAAGTGCATAGTGCTGTAATGAGTGTCAATCTAGATGATTTAGAAGTGCATAGCACCGCAATGAGTGTCAATCTAGATGATTTAGAAGTGCATAGTGTAGCAATGAGTGTGTCAATCTAGATGATTTAGAAGTGCATAGCACCGTAATGAGTGTGTCAATCTAGATGATTTAGAAGTGCATAGCGCCGTAATGAGTGTCAATCTAGATGATTTAGAAGTGCATAGTGTAGCAATGAGTGTCAAGCTAGATGATTTAGAAGTGCATAGTGCTGTAATGAGTGTGTCAATCTAGATGATTTAGAAGTGCATAGCGCCGTAATGAGGGTGTCAATCTAGATGATTTAGAAGTGCATAGCGTCGTAACGTTGAAAGAGCTTTTCAGACGGACGCACGAGCGCATCTGAAAGCGCACAGTGTGGTGACCGCCTGTTGTTCGATAGGCAGCCAAACGCCGCTGATGTGAGGATGACCGGAGTTAATGTGGTGGTTTATGCTCCTTGGCGAGATCAGCAAGGAGGCATTGTGGTTCATTTGTGGAAGATGTACGCGAGCCCAGGAATGCGCCCGATCTCATCACAAGGCGCCGGGCGGGCGGCGGGCGGTGGTGGTGGCTACTCTGCTGCGCGTGGCTGCCTGCAATGCAGCGCTGGGTAGGCAGCAACAAGGGTTGGTGGATTACCGCGCAGATGTCGCGAAACTCCATTCCTGTGGGCATCGAGGTGGTGCCATACCCTGGCTTGCCTGGTTAAGGCAGTACAGAAAAAATGTGGACTCCACCTGTTCCGTCTGCATGGGATAGAGCGTTTCCCCCTCGCATGCGTGGATTTTCTCCGGATGCTCTGTTTTCCTCCGGCGTCTAAGCACACATTAATTGGCGGACAACTCTTTGATATATAGAGGACCGCAGAGCTGGAACAATCGTTGGCGTGGCTGCCTTCCTGTTTGTCTGTCTGTATGAGAATGAGTGAATACCGTGCAGCAGTGCGTCACAAGTTTACATTTCAAGCATATGATTATTGTTATAGAGCTCAGAAGCTACGCAGGGGCTGAGCTCAGAATGATGACCATCATGCGCAAAAGACGGGTGCCGCGGGCAGCAGAGGGTGGTGGAAATGAAATCTATTGTTGTTCTGCACACTTCACACCTTCCACTGACCCGCACTGACCAGCGTGGTGAAGTATAGTCAAAATAACCCATCATGGCCCTGCTAGGCGTGGGGGGAGAAGGACCTTGAACAGCAGTGGCTTAACAAAACACGTGCAGTAAGGTACACAATAGTTTAGCATGGATATGTGACCTTAAGTCAACAATGGGATTTTGTTTTCAGAGATTTGCAAAAATGCATGAGTCTACAGAGTTCATGGAGTTCATGGGAAGCGTAATCTTATGAGTGCTAAAGTCCGACTGCCCCTCTGTCTCTGTGTAATGTAGAACTTATTTTGCCACCGTACGTCGCCAACCATGCTAATCGTGTATTAGTTAGCATGGGGCAGTGTTCCTCTCTGTTGGCAGCCCTGAGTGGTGGCATTTCTACGTTTCTATAACAGGGGTCAGTATATCCCTACATTGACCATTGGTGACTTATCAGATTGTTGTCCATTACAAGGCCATCGCGGGCCACTGGTGGCCTTTAGTGCGGCCCCTGACAATACACAAGGAGTGAAGACACCCCCCCCCCCCCCATCATCATCATCTTCGTCGTGCTGCTGTGGCGATCCTCACACTGATGTCTCATCGGCGAACGTGCCCCCCCCCCCCCCCTCTGAAAATGAGTGAAGAACACCGACTCATCACAAGAGAGGACCTTACTTTATGTTTCATCCCCATGGATGATGGGCTAAGTGTGAACCCATGACCAGGATTTTAACTCAGGACCTTCCGATTGTGTGATTAACCTTGGAGCATGGCTGGGCGCAGCGTTGGTCGTGATTGGGTGGTGGCTGTGGTGAGACACTGACAGATGGAATGTGTCCCTAGTCCAGAGCCTGGGCAGCATGTTTCTGAGTTCACCACGTGGAGCTGAAGCTCCTGCAAAAGCTCCCAGCAACGTGGAGCGAAACGTCAGACATCGCGCCGGACAGCATTCGGTACAACACAGGGAAAAAATGCTCCCGAGCGTCGTTGTGGAGAGCACGGTCTAATGAACTAAGTTAGCAGGCGATGTCTCCTTCACATATCCGTCTCTTGCATAACCCAATGAACCACACGGACTTCTGGAAGTGCATAAATGCCCGTCCAAAGTTTGCTTTTTCTGAAACAATGCTGCCGAAATTCTGCGCTCCCAGAAGGCCGTGCACAGCTGATGGATTGCAAGAGGAACAGCGTGACAACGAGCACTTACGCCAGTGTGTTCCACACTCATTATCGGCCACTTTTACCAATACGACATCATGAATCTGATGGCCGTTACACATTTGAAACCATTGGGTTTTGTGCATTAAACTACCAACTAACGTTAGTCTACCAGGTAAGACCCACTGCGCTATATTGCTCTTTTTCATAAGTGGCATGGTCACAAATGATAGCTTAACAAAAGTGGCTTATCACGTGGAAATGTATATCAGCAGCCGTATGCTCGAAATTACATGTTAATTTTTAACGTGGGGGAGAACAAGCAAATTATAAATATACAGGCGTCAGGGTTGGGATCGAACCCCACGACCTCCTGCATACCACGTGAAGTAGTTCATATCTCATTATGAGACCTGGTCCAAAACCAGTGGAGACTAGGCTCTTAGAAAAGCTGTCTCGGGTGTGGACCAATCAAATTCAAGGACAGTGCATATTATTATCAGAGTTGTCTTTTTTGTTTGCATTTTGACTGCTTGTGTTGTGGTTATTGCAAACATGATGCCTTGAATAAAGGTGTCAGTTTTTGTGCCAGTTAAAAGGGTAAAACCTATTCCTATAGTTCATAACTCACCACCACGGCGCAACGTATTGTGGGAGGCCGCATATCAGGGGGGCTTGCAATGAAGAACACTGAACTACACAGCTGTAGTGCCACTGACCTGCGTATGACTTATCTACCTCTGAATGACTATCTTAGGATGATTTATCAGGGCTCCCACTGCTTTGCTGTGGGCGTCTCAGCGGCCTTTGTGAGGCGCATCGTCTCCCTTCCCTGTGGTGAAGCAAGCAAGGGCAAGTGAGCCGCTTGAGTTTCAATGGCAGCCGTTGCTGCATTACGTGAGTTCAAGCACTGTGTGCTGTTGTGTTTCTCGCAGGGGGTTATTTCGTTCGCAAAGCCCATCGTCGCATGGCACCGATTCAAGAATGCCCCCGTGGGCTTTTCCCCCAACGAAAAATGTCAATTGTAAGAAATTCTTATGATTTGCTTCAATACGAAGCTACCGTACAATAACAAAACATACTAAACGCGTTTGTCAATAATACTGTGGCTTTAAAAATATATTATCGGTGACGTTTTAAATGTTAAGGTATTTACTCATAAATGACACGGTTAAACATTTTTTTACATCCAGCGTAACAAAAATTCCATGCAGCATCACAGATGTTCTCTGTGCAAACAGCAGGTGATTTTTCTCTGGCATGTCAGCCAGCAACAAGCCTCTGTAAAAAATGACGCTGTGATGAAATATTAACTACCTCGCCTGGTATACAGAAGGTCGTGGGTTCGATCCCGACCCTGACGCCTGAATATTTGGAGTCTGCGTGTCTCTCTCGCCGTGGTGGCGTGGATTCTTCTCTGGGTCCTCCGATTTTTCCCTCCACATTTAGAATCAAAATGCGTTCAGAGTATTTGGCTGCTATAAATTTCCAACATACGCCACTTCGTTGAGCTATCATATGTGGCCAGGCCACTTGTGAAAAAGAACTACATCGCTCAGTGGGCCTTACCTGGTAGAAGTAATCACATTTCAGTTTAGTTTTAATTGGCCGATAACATCTTTATAAATAGAGGTCCGCAGAGCTTCAGCAATTGCTGGCGCCTGCTCATCGCGTGGCTGCCGCCTTCCCGCTCGTCCTGCGGTTCATCTTGACTCGTCCCTTACTCTGCGACAGCGAGCGAGCGCCTGCCCGGCGACGGTGACGGCAGCGCGTTACACGAGTTGAAACGCGTTCTACGATTTGCACTCGCCTTCAGCATTCTGATCTCCCGTATCGCGATCTTGCGGATGACCAAATCGTCGTCCGACTCCATGAACCTCTTGACGGCGACCAGCTGCTGCGTGTCCCGCTGCCGGCACTTGAACACCACGCCGTACGAGCCCTCTCCCACCTTCCCCAGCTTCTCGTACTTGTCCATGCCTCCGCGAATGTCTCCCCCGTCCGGCGACCTGCATCGCAGCCATCGCAATAATGAACAGCATCGTCACGGTCACCGCGGGCACAAGGAACGGTCGAGGCTCAGACCAAACATAGGTATGTGTGTACAGTATGTTGAACTTATTTCGCACCGTACGGAGTCAACTGGGCTAATTGCAGGTGCTCGGGGAATACAACAGATCTAAAGAAATGGGGTTTGCATTTAAAAGTGCGTAGCTCCAGTGGCTTTCTAATATCGGAAGGGCATTGCAGATGGCCGCGGAAGCACATCTGAGACGTGGATGCACGTGTAAGTTTAACACGTAGGCTGTCACGACCTTTATTATTCATAATAAAGTTTTTTTGGGGGGTTAGATCGCGTAAGTATAAATGTGTCGTTTACCCATCACCACCCGACACAGCCAATTAGTAAGGTTTGTCACGTAAAGAAAACGTGCCAATTAGTCACTACTTCAGTATGTTGGAGAGTAAACCCACAACATTTACAATTCTAGAACCACGTTTCTCTGGTGATTACAACAACCAGCCTCATCACGCAAAGAAATTTGGGCCTTGAATAGAGGCGTGAAGGTGATGCCAACACGGAGAGCCTAGGGGCCGTCCATAAATGACGTCACGCACCTGGGGGGGGGGGGTCAGGCATTTGTGACGATGTGTGACGAGGGGGGGGGGGGGTTTGAGAAATTTGACGTCACATCAAAATGCGGAACTTTAAATAAATATAGACAACACGTTCTACTTAAATAGACTTTTTAATAAATGCTTTCTCCTACAACATCAGAGTGCAGCGCCACATTAAATACGCACTACAATAGCAATAGTTTAAAGCGATTTGAAGCATGTTTTATTTTTTGGGGGGGGGGGCAGAGCTTTGTGACGTCATGTTTGAGGGGGGGTCTGACTTTTCGTGACGTCATGTGATGAGGGGGGGGGTCAAAAATCGTCCAAAATCGCGTGACATCATTTATGGGCGGCCACCTATCAGGTGGGAATACCAGAGAGGAGGGGGTTAATGCAGTCGTGTAACTTACAATGGACCATGTTCATCTGAGAATATGCAGTACCTATTTATCAGCTGGGTTAGTGACAAGCCAGACCATGGATCAGATAATTCCACACCGTCTCCTCCGCACCGACGAATCGCGAGAAGTCGTCATCGAGATCCGTAAACTAACCGTATAGGGTATACAGCGGCTCCATCTACTCGATACAAAGACAAAGATCCCCCGTATAGCCGAAACAGATTGTTGGGGCAAGTGCTGCTAACGAGCACCTATGAAGGCCGGAAAGGCACATGAGGGGGTGGGTGGCCAGCACCACGCCCGACTGCCTTTGTCTCCCTCATAGCAATGCTTTTACACGTCGCACCAGGTACTCATTTGAGGCTGAGTCGACCTAGGGCAGGTCCAGGACCGGTTCAGATAATCGTCGCTGGTGTTGGCCGTGAGCGGGAATCGAACTCGGGTCACTCGGTTCACCGGGTTCGAGAGCGCTAACCGCTACCCTACCGTTCCCCAACTCGATACACAGTATAATGTTGCTGTGTCAATCTTGATTTTAAGCCTTCGTGACTGCAGGAATCCATACTCTTTGGTTCTTTCGGTGAAGTCACGTAGGTAGAAAAATAATAGACCACGACTTTTCGATCGCAACACAAGCAATCGTCATCAGGTGGGACAACCACAGCAAGAAAAAACTGCTGAAGTAGGCGAGAGAGCTGCCGTGGGACGAGGTTATATAGTAGGCCTCGGCAGTAGGGGGGGAGAGAGAGGGGGGAGGGGGCGGGGCAGGAAGTGGGACCCCGCAGCAGCACCCGAGTCACCGGGAGAGATCCGAGAGAGACACAGAGAGAGAGACACAGAGAGAGAGAGACAGAGAGAGACAGAGAGAGACAAAAGGAGTCGGAACTAACAGCTGACATAGGCAGGTAGGATGGAAACATCACAGTCAGTTAAGACTTTACCTGGTTAATAACGTCCTTCCAATGATTGCTCAGTTTGTACCCATCTTCTCGGTTGAAGTTGTGTCTGTGTTTATATATCTGGATGGCTTCATGAACAAATCTCTGATCAGATCCGGTGGGTTTGCAGAGTACCTTCGTCTTGGAAAAGTCAATTTCGTATGAGCCTACTGCGTTAAAACAATAATCAGCAACGGCAGAGGTATTGGTCCTACCGTGTTTCAGATCCGCCTTGTGTTCGCGAACGCGGTCCGAGACATGTCGTTTAGTTTCCCCAATGTAACTGCTGCCGCAGCCACAACTCAGTTTGTAGACACCCGGGTATTGCATATCAGGAATCACATCCTTTACAGATGGGATCAAATCACGGATTTTGTGTACTGTGTTGAAACGAACCTGGATCTTGTGTTTGTTTTAAGATTTTGGAAATCTTTTTGGTAACCCCTGCTATGTACGGTAAAGTGATGGTATTGGTTGGATCCTCAGATGTTTGTCTCCCCATGGCTGGGGAGGCAGCTTTGCGGATTGTACGGTCCGAGTATCCGTTCATCCTGAGGGCTTGGTGTACGTGCTCCAGCTCACTGGCGAGGTGATGCTGGTCGGAGATGCAACGGGGGCCCTATGGTGTAGTGTTTTGATGAGGGAATTCTTCTGGGCTGGATGGTGGTGGGAGTCAGGCTTGAGATAGGCATCCGTGTGGGTGGCTTTCCTGTAGACCGAATGTCCTAGAGATACGTAGATGACACGTTCGTCATCTGGCCACATGGCCTGCCAGCACTGAACCAATTTCTCAACCACATCAATTCACTATTCACCCGTCTATCAAATTCACCATGTAAGTGGAAAACAATGGCAAGCTACCATTCCTGGATGTTTTGATCGAAGAGATCTGATGGCTCGCTGGGACAGCCACCCATACGGATGCCTATCTAAAGCCTGACTCCCACCACCATCCAGCCCAGTGTTATCGGTTTGTTATCCGTGGCATCAACTCATTACTGGCCACCATCAACCTAGGTCCTAGAATCAACCTTGCGTCGTACGTTATTTTTTCTCTGATTTTTTTATTTTAAAATTGTGGTAGCTGAGCACAGACTCCCCCAAAAATAAAAACGCCAAGCGGGCAGTAACCAGTGGCGATTTCTAAAGAAAAGGTTATAATTAGTTGGTATAAATATACGATGTCAGACAATTCCAAGGTGGAGTAGTGTGAGGGAAGACTCATAAAGAGCGTGGTGGTAGGTGAGAATGAGTGAATGACGCGGTGAGTGGATGGGTGAGTGAGTTAGCGAGTGGGTTATTTAGTGATTGTGTAAGTGTATTGTTGTGACCTGCAGCGTGGTGAGTGAGTGGGTGAGAGATTGAGGGAGTGAGTGAGTGAATGGCTAAGTGACTGAGTGAAACGATGAGTGGATGGTTGAGTGAGTGAGTTAGCGAGTGGGTGGGTGAGTGATTGTTTAAGTGTATTGTTGTGACCTGCAGCGTGGTGAGTGAGTGAATGGGTGAGTGAGTGGGTGAGTGCGTTAGTGGGTGGGTGGGTGAGTGATTGTGTAAGTATTTTGCTGTGACCTGCAGTGTGGTGAGTAGGTGATGGAGTGAGTGGGTGAGTGAAATGGTGAGCGATTGCGTGGCTGAATGATTTAGCGAGTGGGTGAGTGAGTGATTGTGTAAATGTGTTGCTGTGACCTGCAGCGTGGTGAGTGAGTGGGCGGGTCAGTGAAAGGGTGGGTGAGTGATTGTGTAAGTGTGTTGCTGTGACCTGCAATGTTGTTGGTGGTTGTGGTTGTTACACAGTGTGGACGAGATGAAGCAGAATCTGGTGGACCAACTCCGATCCTAGCGCAGAGGAATCGATGAGTGCAGCTCACTGGAAGAGCAGTCACCACGCCAGTAGTCGCGATACGAGTCACGCTCTGGAATTTCTATTGGAAACCATCGCTGAATGTCCATATTCCATCACGTGTTCCACTGTCTAAATACAACCCCAAGAATACATTTTCTATAAAAAAAAACTATAAACTATTTATACCAGGTAAAGCCCACTGAGCAACGTAGCGCTTTTTCAGAAGCGACCTAGCTATCGCAAATGATAGCTCAACGAACTGGCTTATCGCGTGGAAATTTATAGCAGAAGCCACATACTCGAAACGCGTGTATGTTGATGCTAAATGTGGAGGAGAAAGCCGGAGAACCCGGAATCCACACGCCATGGAGAGATAAACACGCAAACTCCAAATATACAGAAGCAGGCGTCAGGGTCGGAATCGAACTCACGACCTCCTGCACACCAGGTGTGGGAGTTAACATCTCGCCACCGCGACGCCCTCACGTACCACGTAATAATACACAACCTCTTGAGCATCCCTCCTACCAGCCTGTCTGTCGACTGCCCCCCTCATTGCGCGAATAAAACGGTCACGAGACCAAGGCGCCTTGATGCCTCCCGAGTTGGAAGGAAAATGCTGACAACCGAGCGGTGCGTTAGAAGACCCGATACTGCAACCCCTGTCAATGCGTCAACCCACGGGACGCAACGCTAAAGGGGACGTGATACCCACACGGTGTATACACACCCTGCTGTTCGAGTGTGAAGTGTGAAAGCCGTATTGTGTATTCAAGATGTTGCTTTCCATGTTTGGCCAACTTAAAATATATATTGCTAAGGTGGAAGGCGCAGCAACATCCAGAGGCACCACCAGATAGCAGTAGATAACTCAGTAAGGTGGGAGGCACAGCAACATCCAGATACACCACCAGATAGCAGTAGATAACTCAGTAAGGTGGGAGGCACAGCAACATCCAGATACACCACCAGCTAGCAGTAGATAACTCAGTAAGGTGGGAGGCACAGTAACATCCAGAGACGCCACCAGATAGCAGTAGATAACTCAGTAAGGTGGGAGTCACAGCAACATCCAGATACACCACCAGATAGCAGTAGATAACTCAGTAAGGTGGGAGGCGCAGCAACATCCAGAGACACCACCAGATAGCAGTAGATACCTCAGTACGGTGGGAGGGACAGCAACATCCAGAGACACCACCAGATGTCAGTAGATAACTCAGTAAGGTGGGAGACGCAGTAACATCCAGATACACCACCAGATGTCAGTAGATAACTCAGTAAGGTGGGAGTCACAGTAACATCCAGATACACCACCAGATAGCAGTAGATAACTCAGTAAGGTGGGAGGCACAGCAACATCCAGATACACCACCAGATGTCAGTAGATAACTCAGTAAGGTGGGAGTCACAGCAACATCCAGATACACCACCAGATAGCAGTAGATAACTCAGTAAGGTGGGAGTCACAGCAACATCCAGATACACCACCAGATAGCAGTCGATAACTCAGTAAGGTGGGAGTCACAGCAACATCCAGATACACCACCAGATAGCAGTAGATAACGCAGTAAGGTGGGAGTCACAGCAACATCCAGATACACCACCAGATAGCAGTAGATAACTCAGTAAGGTGGGAGGCACAGCAACATCTATAGACACCACCAGATAGCAGTAGATAACTCAGTAAGGTGGGAGGCACAGTAACATCTAGATACACCACCAGATAGCAGTAGATAACTCAGTAAGGTGGGAGGCACAGCAACATCCAGATACACAACCAGATAGTAGTAGATAACTCAGTAAGGTGGGAGGCACAGTAACATCCAGAGACACCACCAGATAGCAGTAGATAACTCAGAAAGGTGGGAGGTGCAGTAACATCCAGATACACCACCAGATAGCAGTAGATTACTCAATAAGCCATACGCATTGGTCAGCAACCTGCTTGGCATATTGCGATTCGTTCACCGCCTCTTCACTCCTGTCCCTGTAGCTTGTGTCACAATTTGGGCGCTGGCGGTGGCGAGATGTTAACTGCGTCGCCTAGTAGACAGGAGGTCTTGGGTTTGATCACGAACCTGAGGCATGTATATTTGGAATTTGCGTGACTCTCTCTCCCCGTGGTCGCATGGTCCTCGGGTTTTACCCTCCACATTTAGAATCAAAATGCCTTCAGTATTTGACTGCTATACATTTCCACGCGATAAGCCACTTCGTTGAGCTATCATTTTCGATAGCCAGTTCACTTCTGAAAAAGAGCTATACAGCTCAGTGAGCCATATGTGTGTCAAATGTGCAAATATATAGTAATAGCGGTGATCTCTACAATATTCCACAACCCTCACACTCTTAATACAATAATTCACTTTACGTCCAAATACTTTTGCTCAGGTTCCCACGTTTTGCTCAGGATCATGCACGTGAAGATGGATCAACTGTGTGAACATACGACCACGGAACACACACCAACAACTCAATGCCCGATTAACATATGCGGAGGAGGGGTCATCATGACCACCACAGTGACACACAATTCTGCTTCACGCGACGCAATAACCACCTCAATGTAAAGTTACAGCAGTTTGTCGACATCAACATCGGCCATCCGAAGAAGACAGAGATCTATAGATTCACACTGAGACCCATGGACTCATATGTAGACCCATGGACTCACACAGAGCTCTATCGATTCACACTGAGACCCATTGACTCACATAGAGACCCACAGACTCAGAGATCTATAGATTCACACTGAGACCCATAGACTGGATCGAGACCCATAGACTCACACAGAATCTATAGATTCACACTGAGACTTATGGACTCACATGGCAACCACAGACTCACACAGAGATCTATAGATTCACACTGACACCCATAGACTCACATAGCGACTACCGAATCACACAGATCTATAGATTCACACAGACCCACAGCCTGCATAGAGACCCATAGACTCACACAGAGATCTATATATTCACACTGAGACCCATAGATTGACATACAGACCCATGGACTCGCACAGATCTATAGATTCACACTGAGACCCATAGACTCACATAGACACCCACAGACTCGCACATAGATCTATAGATTCACACTGAGACCCATAGACTCACATAGAGACCCGCAGACTCACACATAGATCTTTAGATTCACACTGAGACCCATAGACTCACACAGATATCTATAGATCAACATCAGCCATACGAAGAAGACGATGTGAACCCCACAGAGAAAATACCGTAATCCTCCAGATTATAAGACGTTCCAGAATGTAAGACGCACCCCGATACTCCGCGGCCCAAGTGTCAATAATACACTTAAAGAAATATGGTCCACGCACGTTCACAACAAACACACTGATTAGATTATAGGACGCATCCCCAAACCTTTCCTTTAAAATACAGAAGAGGGGGGAGGGCAAGTGCCTCGTGTATTCCGGGGGACACGGTCACAGTCCCACATTCTACTCACCGTGTCGGCGTGATGTTGTGTGGCGTCTCCCTTCAACCACGCTGCATCGCCTCTATGGGTGGTGATGCTCCCTGCTTCATCGGCTGCGTGGTGGGGCCACTGTGTCAACCCTCACTTGAGTCACCCCTGGCTTGGATCAAACCTGGCTTGAGTCAGCCCTGGCTTGAGTCCGCTGTGGCTTGAGTCAGCCCTGGCTTGGATCAAACCTGGCTTGAGTCAGCCCTGGGTTAAGTCAGCCCTGGCTTTAATCCGCCTTGGGCTTGAATCGGCCGTGGCTTGAGTCACCCCTGGCTTGAGTCACCTCTGGCTTAAGTCAGCCTTGGCTTGAGTCGGATCTGGCTTGAGTCAGCCCTCAGTTGAGTCACCACCGCTGGCTTGAGTCACCCGTGGCTTGAATCGACCCTGCAGGCTTGTGTGTGGTGGCTGCTTGTCCCAAACGCTCAGCGTGCCCAGGTGACCGCGTAGATGCTCACTGCTCAGCCACCACCTGTGTGTGTGTGCGTGTGTGGTGTGTGCGCCTGATTGTTACTCGTGATTACTCAGCGTGGGGTGGTGAAAGAAGAGGCAGGAGGTAGCGGGGAGGTGGGTGCTGGGCAAGAGAAGCATTGTGAAGAGAGGAGGGCGGGGGGGTGAAGGGTTACACGAGATGATGATGATGAGGATCATGATGAGTGGCAGCTCGCTCTTCTCAACGCTCTGGGCAATGGGCAAGCAGCTCTCGTGGATGCGTTGGTTTACTATTCGAGGGTGTCACATCTGCCTATCAATTAGAACTATGCTACTGTTAATTATCACACGTAATTATTTATTTGTAAACTATTACCGTATCGCTCCGCTTAGTAAGACTGCCCCCTAACGTTGCGCACGGCGTCAAGCCCATCAACACCCACCTGGACACCCCCAACACCCACCACGACACCCCCAACACCCACCACGACACCCCCAACATCCACCACGACACCCCCAACACCCACCACGACACCCCCAACACCCACCACGACACCCCCAACACCCACCACGACACCCCCAACACCCACCACGACACCCCCAACACCCACCACGACACCCCCAACACCCACCACGACACCCCCAACACCCACCACGACACCCCCAACACCCACCACGACACCCCCAACACCCACCACGACACCCCCAACACCCACCACGACACCCCCAACACCCACCACGACACCCCCAACTCGTGCCCGGCTACAGTGCCGGATTATCCCAGTAGCAAAAGTAGCCACATATGTTGTAGCCACTACATATATGTAGTGACTGCTATGTAGTAGCTACTACATATATGTAGTGACTGCTATGTAGTAGCTACTACATATATGTAGTGACTGCTATGTAGTAGCCACTACATATATGTAGTGGCTATGTAGTAGCCACTACATATACTACATATATGTAGTGGCTATGTTGTAGCAAGTGCAGAATCACCGAACTGGAATTGATAGTTTGAAAGCATTTAGCGCGGGGCCCTTGAAAGTGCGTGGCCCGTATGTAGTAGCCACTACACATATGTAGTAGCTACTACATAGCCACTACATATATGTAGCTAAATGCTTTCAAACTATCAATTCCGGTTCAGTGATTCTGCACTTGCTCTATTACTATAGTACTATACCGCCTTCAACTTTTACGAACGACTGGGTGTTTAAGGTTAGCGATTTGTCGTATTATCCGGCTGTATAGGAAATGAAAAAATACAATTACTTCACTATGCACGTGAGACATTGACGTGTTGTAATATGCACGTGTTTTTGTTTAATTTAGGGCCTCTTTATAACATACTAGCTTTACTACCCGGCTTCGCCCGGGGACTTGCATTCACCACGGCCGGCCGCCTTTGTCTCCCCAGTGGCGATGTTGACACACCACACCACTTACTCGTTTGAGGCTAAGTCAACCTAGGGGAGGCCCAGCACCCGTTGAGGCAAGACGCATTCAACGACTCAGTGCCCGAATTCGCAAATACGACAGAGGAGGCATCGCCACAGCCATTCCCTCACCCAAATTATCCGGCACATAGCAGCACCTCGATGTAACATTACAGCCGTCGCTCTGCATCAACACGTATGTATGATGAACTTCTTTCGCACCGTACGTAGCCAACCGTGCTAATCGGGTGTCTTGCTGGGGAAGGACAACAAACTAAACACAATAAGCAGTTTTAAAGAAATTCGTTTGTCAATCAAGATGATGCTTTAAAAGTGCGTAGCTCCAGCGGCTTCCGAATATCGGGAGGAACGTTCCAGACGGCCGCAGAAGCGCAGCTGACAGCGCGCGAAGCAGTGACCGTCTTTGTCGTCATCATCATCACTCATCTTGTTGTCATCATCATCGTCATCATCACCCGTCTTTGTCGTCATCATCATCATCATCACTCATCTTGTTGTCATCATCATCAACCGTCTTTGTCATCATCATCATCATCACTCATCTTGTTGTCATCATCATCAACCGTCTTTGTCATCATCATCATCACTCATCTTGTTGTCATCATCATCAACCGTCTTTGTCGTCATCATCATCATCATCATCACTCATCTTGTTGTCATCATCATCAACCGTCGTCGTCATCATCATCATCACTCATCTTGTTGTCATCATCAACCGTCTTTGTCGTCGTCATCATCATCATCACTCATCTTGTTGTCATCATCATCACCCGTCTTTGTCATCATCATCACCCATCTTTGTCGTCATCAGCCACACGACGACGACAACGACGAAGAAGCTAACAGCACTTGCCCCAACAGCCTGTCAAGGCTACACGGGTGGAGGAGTAGCGTGGGTCTTTGGTGTGACCAACGCACGGAGTGTGGCTGAGAGAGAGAGAGAGGGGGGTGCTACGGATGCTGGGTGACTGTGTTTGTGTTGTGCAGCGCCTTTGAATGGCCTCTTCGCGCCTGGGGCCGCCGGCACGGTGTTTGCTTAGCGCCCACAAAAGTTGCACGCGCGAACAAACACGAGGGCGACTTTTTTTTTTGCTCTCGGCTCAGTCGTTGTGGTGCGACCCCCCCCGCCTCTCTCTGTGACCCACGCGGGTCCCCTGGACGCCGCTCACCCTGACAATGCACAACACCGACTCACTGTAGCAGACTCGCACAAACATTATTGCGCCAAAGTCCTCTGGGGGTGGTGGGAGAAAACAAATCGTGATTTCATCAATGTTTTTTTTTATAGTTTTAACTGGCCCGTAAAGAGGCATGCCGATGCACGCAATTCGGTGGGTCTCTGTATTTATCTGTGGTGGTGCGTTGGTATTCTGCTGCTGCTGCTGCTGATAACGCCACAATTCGTTCCAGGGAGGTACTTGGAATTTAGTCACGTGCATTTTTTTTTAGTTTGTAACGATAATCATCATCTGTTTTAAAATGTTGAAGCGGGAATATTTTATCAGTCTCGGACCGCCACACATCACACCACTTTTCATGCCAGTTTACATGTAAACATTTAAAGTGTACGTGTCAAAATCATACCAGTTTACATGTCAACATTTAAAGTCTACGTGTCAAAATCCTCGAGCAGTTGGGAGGATTCCAAACCTTTTCATAAACGAGAGACAAGGACAATGCGTCGCTAACGATGAGGATTATTCCACCTTTATTGGGAATAAACTGGATCAGCGGTCGGCAACATTACCCATAGACTTACATTACCCATAGATTCACATTGCCCATAGACTTACATTGCCCATAGATTAACATTGCCCATAGACTCACATTGCCCATAGACTTACATTGCCCATAGACTTACATTGACCAATAAAATTACATTGCCCATAGACTATCATTGCCCATATACTAACATTGCCCTTAGACCAACATTCCCCGTATATTTACTCGGCCCATAGATTAACATTGTCCATAGACTAACATTGCCCATAGACTTACATTGCCCAAAGAGTAAAATTGCCCAAAGACTTACATTGCCCATAGACTAACATTGCCCATAGAGTAAAATTGCCCATAGGCTAACATTGCCCATACACTAACATTGCCCATACACTAACATTGCCCAAAGACTAACACTGCCCATAGACTAACCTTGCCCATAGACTAACTTTGCTCGTAGAGTAAAATTGCCCATAGACTAACATTGCCCATAGACTAACATTGCCCATAGACAAACATTGCCCATTGACTAACATTGCCCATAGAGTAAAGTTGCCCATAGACTAACATTGCCCATTGACTAACATTGCCCATAGGCTCACATTGCCCATACACTAACATTACCCATACACTAACATTGCCCAAAGACTAACACTGCCCATAGACTAACATTGCCCATAGACTACCATTGCCCATAGACTTACATTGCCCATTGACTACCATTGCCCATAGACTAACATTGCCCAAAGACTAACACTGCCCATACACAATCATTGCCCATAGACTAACATTGCCCATACACTAACATTGCCCAAAGACTAACAATGCCCAAAGACTAACAATGCCCATAGACTTACATTGACCATAGACTTACATTGCACATTAACTAACATTGCCCATAGACTTACATTGCCCATAGACTAACATTGCCTATATACTAACATTACCCATAGACTTACATTACCCATAGACTAACATTGCCCATAGACTAACATTGCCATAGAGTAAAATTGCCCATAGACTAACATTGCCTATATACTAACATCGCCCATACACTTACATTGCCCATAGACTAACACTGCCCATAGACTTACATTGCCCATAGACTTACATTGCCCATAGACTTACATTGCCCATAGACTTACATTGCCCAAAGACTAACACTGCCCATAGACTTACATTGCCGATGGGCAATGTAAGTCTATGGGCAATGTAAGTCTATGGGCAGTGTTAGTCTATGGGCAATGTAAGTGTATGGGCGATGTTAGTATATAGGCAATGTTAGTCTATGGGCAATTTTACTCTATGGCAATGTTAGTCTATGGGCAATGTTAATCTATGGGCAATGTTATTTTGGTTGCCGACCCTACAAGGAAGCTGCATGCCACAGATCTCCAATTATCACGATTGCCTCTGCACGGCGCGAAAGAAGTCCAACGTACACGCAACGCAGAAATCGCGGCTTTGAATCATTCGCGAGTGGGACCGAAATGCCACGAGCGGCTTTATTCACAGGAGGCGGCAAATACGAGCGGAAGCTCTCCCTTGTCTTGGAACGGCCCCTTGGCTTCAGTGGCGACGTTTCCATCGAACGAGGAACAGCCTCCAGACAATTCGCAGCGTGAAGCCGCCCTGCTCGGCGCCCTCTGTTGTAGCACGGAGTTAAACTGATGGCTTTAATCTAAGTTGTCTTGTGGCTGTTGTTGTTTGACTTTAATCCCACTGGGATATTTGTACACAGAGCGTTGGTGTATTGTGCTTTTTTCTGGAAGATTTTGCTGTTTTTTTCCTGGATTTTTCTGTTTGCGCGAAGTCACTTTAAGATGTTTTTCTTGTTCATGTTTTTGTTTGTTGCGGTTGCACCCGATTCAAGAGCCGAATGGCTCACAGGGATCTACCAAATAAATGAAACTGAAAACTAAATGAAACGCTTCTTTGCCTTCGCTTCTGAGCGAGCAAGTGAAATAACTCTCTCGTCTGGGTCTCTCGGTAAAGGTCACGAAGATGGGTTCAAATAAATTACCAAAAAAACAACTCCGACGTTTCGATCGCTTGTGTTGCGATCGAAACGTCGGGGTTTAAAGAAATAATGTTTTACCTATCTACGTGACTTTACCGAAAGACCTAAAGACTATGAATTCCTGCAGTCACGAAAGCTTTAAGTCAAAATTGAACTGAAATCACCTCCCTCGCGGACAGCCCGTGAACTTGTGTCCGTCACG